GTCTTGGAAATTCAAATATATTTTATAGAAAGCACAAACAGAAATATGCTTTCTGATAGAAGCGAACAGGCGAGTTCCAGGTAGCAGTTCAGAAGATGAAGATGCGATCACCGGAACAAGAACTTTATTTGCCTGACGTTTCTGATCCTTACTCGAATCCATCATCAGGGACCTTAGCAGATAAAGATGATTGTGGCACCAGGAGTGCAGTATTTATAGCACGTGGCTGTCGTGGGACCGCATGCGCACTGCAATTAACAGTTCTCGTAATCACCGCTTTTAGCGAATACCTGTACTGCTAGTATGGTATCATGTGGCCCAAAAGAAGAAAAGCTTCGAAATGAAACCTGTGCTATTGAATGTCGTCAGATGGACTTGATGAGAGAATATACGTCATAATCCTCTTTCCCTCTTTGCACTGGCTGTGAGCAACAATCGGTTGCAACCTTTCATCACCTCACCTTCTAGCGCACTAGCTGCATTCCTCCTATTAATCTGACGATAGGCTGCCTGCACCTTGAGAATAGGTGTGTAAATGTCTAATTTCAAAAAGTATATGTCTCTCGGCACACTAGCCGAATGTCTACTCTCATACCTATGCGAAGGCCACATTTGGTCGCACATGAATCCTGGATTTCTAAGTTCCTTGATAAATGCTAGACAAGTGTTAAAAATATGGCGAACTACCCTCCAGTGGGTGGTTGTGAAACGATCGTCAACATAATGGCCGAAATTATGTGGATGACGCGGATATGATGAAAAGCATGGCAAACAACCTACGGAGATGCCGTCCGGCTATGGCACTCTTTCGAGACCCGGAGTTTCGCTAACCCCGCTGGCTCCCTCTGATGCAGGTGGGTGTGTGAGTGTCCCCCAAAACGGGCTACGTAGTAGATGCGCTGGACCAACACGGGGGCCACATCGGATTCTGTCAGGCGTTATCTTGCGCAATAACAAATGCCAACTTTTCGGGGGTGCGCTGGCAGACCCTGTCGTTGGCAGTCGTCACACAAACTGGGACTACTGGAGCCCCTCTCCCCCCCCTCCCCCCCATTGTTTTGTCAGCCAAAATCCTGGTCATTTTGTGTGGACCATGGGGTGCGGAGTGGAGCGCCAAGGTGCGGATCCGTCCGAGCCATCCACCTGCGGCCTCGCTCATCTCCGGTCTTCTTGGCTCTGTCTTGACATCGAGCTCAGGCGGGAGAGGAGGAGAGTGTGGTAGATGCAGCGCAAGTCTACTGGCACTATAAACCCTTGCGCAAGTCACCGTCCCTGCTCACACCACCTGCTGTGGGGCATACGGTTGACATCGTCGAAATCGACGGTCGAGCTCTTGTGTGTGTGTGTTTGTGTGCGCCTGAGCAGGCATGCGCTGAAGCACTCTGTACACCACACAGCTGTCAGTACACTGCCACGTGCCCTGAGACTTTGTATTTACCCTACTGTACTGAAGCGTTCTGTGATTTACTATAAGACTCGACACACCCAGCCACCGGGAGAACAAATTACAGTTAACATGCTCAACAAACTTCCAAATCTGCAACTTCCTATTTTAATCAGTTTCCTTCTCTACGCAACTTGTGCCACTTCGAAAGCAGACGCAACTGGAGGCTTTTTATCAGATCGCCTAGAAAAGGAAGCACTGCAGGGCGCGGAAGGGGCAAGTGGGGTAGAAGCTTCAACAGAGCTGCAGAAAGAAGATCTGTCCGAACTGGTGCCCCATTCACTTGCGCCAGCTGGATGGTGGGTGCGATTTCGTGAGCGCGCCAAGCGATTCCTCCGGGGGCGCGGTTGCAGAGGCGGACAGTGCCGTCAACCGAATAATCACATTAACATTGTCCGTATACCGTTTTGATTTACGTTATTCTCTCTTTATCATGAATTCCTGAATAAGGTAACGATATATGTTCTGTGAAATTACTAAGTAAAACTATTGCAAACACGAGAATCTTCTAAATATATTGACACCCGAGGTCCTCCGATTTCAGCCTAAATTTTATGCTTTTGTTCCAACTATGAAACCGTTTAGGGAAGGGTGGGGGAATAAGTATCACCCGTATCACAGGTGGCCTTAGGCCGAATCCTGGGCTAAATTCAGATGGCCTAACTGTACTGGGGGGTAAACGAACCCATGGCATCCCGTTGGACGCCGCCTACTGGATTTTTTAAGGAAAAGCCCGTACCATGGGAAAAAGGGGACTTCGGTGACAATGGGCAGCCAACACTCTCCGGTGGGTCGTCGGCAGCCTGCATACTAGGATCAGAAGGTGGCAAAAAGGACTCTTTAAGTTTATATAGTGAAAATCCCATTCCGAGGTAGCGTCAGGAGAAGAAGAGGCTTATACCGACAGAGGTTTATTGGACGTCTCACATGTCAAGGAGTGATTTCGCCTACCCATCTGCAGAGATTGGAAGTTCATGTGCACAGCCCTCATAATATGGCGCCCAGCTGCGGGATGTACAAATACGTTGAGGAGACCAGCCGATGGTTACTAACGTGGACGCATGAACTTCACTTGACCGTACGAAGATTGGACCTAACGTCAGAGGTAGCAAACCATGTCGCGCAGATGGGACACAGCTTCAACTTTGACACCGTTGAAATTGTCGGCCAAGGTGCTGCTCACACGTCAGGGCAGGTACAAGAAGCCTGGGTGTCTTCCGACTGCTCAGTCTACCGCTAAATTAATTTTCTTGTCCCCTATCCGGCTTAACGAGCTGCGAACTTGAGTCTGCAGCCTCCGAAGATGGGTAGGCGAAGTCACTACTCGAACGACCCTTCATCTTTTGATCAATTAAATTATATCAGCCTACTGAACAGGAGTAAGTAGGCACTATGTGGGAATAGACTGTTGGTGGCGTGCTCATTTATGCGTCACCATCTGGACAAATTTCGGTACAGCAACGCATTTTACTGTAGCGGATCGGTGAAAAGTGCCATTTAAATATGAAGAACTCGGTTTGAACGGACAGAGGCTTCGGGTTAAGTCTATTTGGCTTAGTTATACTGGGGTCGTGCAACTGAAGGGTGGACAACCAATGGTTAGTATGAGCGGGAGAAGGTTGGAAACGCTTATTCACACAGCAGGACGATCGGAGAAGGACGAACCGCGCCTGCTCATTTCCCCAACATCCAGTTTGTCGTTACACCGTAGGGATTAAATCTCCGGTTCGTCCACTTCTCAAACCGGGTCGTCAAAAACACGAGTAATTTCTCCTTGCCCTTTTTACGCCGTTAGTTGTGCCGCCCTCATCAGTGTGCAGCTCTGCGTTTTGCTAGTATAATAGGCCCGGGGATCACTTGAAAGTGTACATCCCCTTAAAAGGATTTATGTTCAGTCGAATGAGAATTTTCACGGTCAACCGAAGTTGACGGTCAGTGAAATGCCCCCATCAAAAGTCAACAAATTAGTCTTTTTATCTCTGTTTCCGATTGGTTATCATCAAGTCCATCATACTCACATGGGACAAGACCAAACAATTTAAGGGGAAAAGAAGGATTTTTAGTGTAAGATAGGATCGCCAGAACAAGATTTCTGACAGTCTAGTTCTCAGATTCACACTCGAATCAATCAAAAGAGGCCGCGTAAGAAAAGGATAATGACAGCATAAGCGCTACATTATTTTTAGGATGCAGTTGCAATGCTATACAAACATACGTATCCAAAAATGGTGGCTCCCACACTCGATGTCGTCGCTTGGTGCAATGATAATTTGATTGCGGTAGCCAATTCATCAATTGTTGCGTATTTATAACTCAAGCGGTTATCACCCGGTGGTTCAGCTTGAGGCAATCATATATATTATCCGACTTAAACAATACGACAGTTCGACCGTCGCATCCGACGACGTCTACTGTGTACTCCACAGTCACCAGGCACGGTGACTAGTGCGTGATTTAGTTTTTAGTGAACTTAGAATTGCACAGCCTATGTCGCACCCTCTCCTCCAACCTGGACCCGATGTCAAGGTAGAGTTGAAAAGACAGGGGGTGGAAGAGGACGCAGATAGCTGGCGCGGCCGAAGCCGTACCTAGGCGTGCCGTCACACTCGGTTGGGATCCCATGGGCTGGGAGTGTCCTAATGGCCACATTAAGAAGAAGCCATTGAAGCCTGACTCTTAGACCACCAGTCGACTGCGAGATCCAAGTTATCCTGTCAGTTGGTAACCTTCCAAGCCACGGCTTTTAGCGCACCGTGATAGCTTCAAGCGCGTCGGATTGTTTATAGTGAGGAAGAGAATGCACTGAGTCGTCGACCTCACTCTCCCATTCACTATCCGAGCCGGTTATTTCACTTCAGCGGAGAATGGGAGTGGTGGCTGACATATCTACTGACCTTGTCTGCGCACTCCATAGGCTCGACCTGACCCCCAAAACACAAGCACCAGGATCTTGTACAACAGGGGTTGGGCGGTATATATCTCACATGCGTGAGAGCTTGACTCTGAGCCCACGATTCCACAATTCCACACAAACACACACATAACTGGACGGACTGCGAGGACTGAGTTGGGACATCAGTCAGCAGCCTTACAAGCCACGATGCTTGACGCACCGTGATAGTCTCAAATTCGAATCACACATGCAGAAGAGGAGCCACATGAAGAAGGAGCTGGGACGCACACTTCCCACATGCATGGGAGGTAGAAATTGTGTGTTTGCGATGGATGGTGATGTTTTAAGATGCACTTGTTTGTAGGGGAAGATGTGATGGTGTGGCGTAGCCGACAGTTGACTACCGCAGATATGGCCTAATAGACCCAGCGGTGATTGGATGTGCAGGTGATGTGAGAGCGGTCGAGGCGGATGAGTTGGGTGTTGGTTGGTGCTCCAGACGCTGGTTCGCCGGTCTCTGTGCGATGGGTTTGCAAGTGACCGATCAGACCGCTGTATGAGGTGAAGGTGCGATCGTAATGAGAACAGATATGGACAAGGTCCCCATAACTGGTACTGACGGTGGTGAGATTTATGTTTGTCGGTGTGTCAGGATTGTGTGCAATGGTAGGAGGTGCAGAAACCGCTGCAGTGCATGTTGAGGCCATGAAGGAGGATGGTAGTGGGGGTTCAGGAGTGCGGTTAGTGCTGGTTGTCGACGTGGAGGCCGAGGAGGAGGTGAGCGGGAAGACATTGGGTAGTGTCGTCTGGGTGTTGCAGTTGATTCGAAGATGCCCAATTAGACGGCTGGTGGCCGGAACGCTCGTTGACATCGTGGACACGTCGGGGCGGTCGAGCTTTGGCGTTGCGACATGGGAGCAGTTGAGATTTACTACCTTCACGTTGGGCTTTGGCGTCCCTGACGCGTTTGACTTAGTAGATTGCTGCGCCTGTCTTCGTCGCTCTCCTCCAGGCAGGGTCGGTCCCGAGCAAGGTTTTCCTAATTGGACGGGTTGATTTGCAGGCGCCTCAAGGAATCCTTCAGGATATCCCTGTACCGCCGGACTTGGCCTCCTTGTCGGCGGGAACCCGTGGCGACTTCTCCATAGAAGAGTTGCTTATGAAACCGCTCCTCTTCCATGCGCACCAGATGGCCGCTCCAGCGCAGTTGAAGTTGTCTCAGCACGGTGCAGATGCTGAGGATTCCCGTCCACACCATTGCGTCCGTGTCCAGGACCCAGTCCTGCCACCTCAGCTTTAGTATTTGACGAAGACAACTGAGGCGGAAGTGGTTTAGTCTTCGCGCCTGCTTTTTTTACACCGTCTTGGTCTCCGCTTCATACATAAACGTCGGCAGGCTGATTGCTTTGCACATGGTCAGTTTGATGTTGAGATGGAAACTATGACGATTCCAGACGGTGTTTTGTAGGCGATCGAAGGCTTGGCTGTATTTGGAAATCCGGCGGGTCACTTTTATCGTCAATTTTGTTATTGCAAGAGAGGATGCTGCCCAGGTAAGCGAAGTTGTCTACGACTTGCAGTTGGACGTCGTTCAAGTTGATTTGGAGAGCGACGTAGGCAGCGTCGGGTGCATAACCATCGTATTCTCTGTGTTAATGACCTGGCCGAAATTTTCGCAGGCGGCGGCAACTTGCAGTTTGGGTTGCACACAGGCCGGAAGCAACCATTAGGCGCCAAGTCATGACGCCAAAAGACCCGCTGCCACGGCAGGAAACGTCTGGAGTCGTTTACCGGATCTGGTGCAGTTGAGGACAAAGCAACTACGTCGGAGAAACCGGATGATTACTCCGTACGCGAATGGACGAGCACGCAGCAGCAGTGAGACGGGGAGACGCTAACTCTCAGGTGGCGGCACACTCGACCGGACCCGGCCATATTTTCAAATTTCAAGAGGCCGAAATCCTCACAAGGAGTGACAACCGCGTGAGCCGCGAGCTGTTCGAGTCATGGTTCTCAGGCCCGCAATCCATCAGCAAACACAATGACCTCCCGGGACCATGTTCCGTGCTGAGATTTTCACTGGGCAGGGGAATCAGTCACGTGGGGAGGTCGCGGGCGAGCATTTAGCACAGTTGCCGATACAAGCGAAAATGCGCGTTCCAGGAACAAGTTGTTCAGAAGAAGAAGAAGCGATCGCTGGAACAAGGTCTTTATTCGCCTGACGTTTCGGATTCTCACTTGAATCCATCATCAGAGACAGTAGCAGAAAAGGGTGACTCGTGCACCGGAAGTTGTAGTATTTATAGGATGCAGTCGCTATGCTACCGCATACCTATAGCAATTAACCGCGCTCCCCTTCATGAAGGATCGTGGCCCGCTGGTGCACTAATTGCTTGCTGGCCGGCATGTAAGTTGTTAATTACCGAAATGTCATCACCCGTGTTGGATGCTGGCGTGATGATGGCTCGGCCATCTGGCTCACCGGCTTACGTTTTATCACAGTGACAGTGAGCCAAATCGCCGAGCAATCGTTACATCAGTGTCCTGCACGGATGACGAAATCACGGCGATTAAGGACCCGGACTCGGACTGACAAGCCATCACCGCATCAATTACGACCCTAGCGGTGATTGCGAGAACTCTTAGTTGCAGTGCGCATACGGTCCGACAGCAGCCACGTGCTATAAATACTGCACTCCTTGTGCCACCACTACCCTTATATGCGACTGTCTGTGATGATGGATTCGAGTGAGAATCCTAAACTTCAAGCCAATAAATTTCTTGCTCAAGAGATTCCATCTTCGTCTTCTGAGATCCATGCTTATTTGCATGTCCACTTCGGGGGTGGCGTTGAGGGCGTAGTAGCCGGCAAAACACACACACACACACAAACGACAGTGTTGCTGTTGAAGTGTAGGATCTGTCTCGTGTTGGTGGATTTTCGGAATACTGTAGTTTGCAGCTGTCCAGTGGTACACCAGTGCACAAGTACGTCAAGGAAGGGGAGTTGGTTGTTTGTTTCTGCTTCCATCGTAAATTGGATATCCAGGTTAACCGAGTTCAGTAGTTTCTTTAGGTGCTCTATGTCAGTTGTTTTGATAACGGCGAAGGTTTCATCGACATAGCGGGCCCAGAACTTTGGTTGATACTTGGTGAACACCAAGTGTTCTACACGTTGAAGAACTACTTCAGCGATTAGGCCTGATATAGGGGAGCCAATAGGAGTTCCTTTTATTTGTTCGTACATCTGTCCATCGAAGGTGAAACTGGTCTTGAGACAGTATCGCAGAAGATCGAACAGATGCTCAGACTTCAGGAGTTTGTCTCTCTCCTCATAACGCTCTGCCAAAGTTGGTCCACAACGTCGACCGCTAGTTGCTGTGGAATGGAGGTGAAGAGCGCAACAACATCAAAGGATACCATGGACTCGTCTGGCTCTAACTTCAGATGTTTTATGCGTTCGAGGAATTGATACGCAGATGTGACTGTTGTTGGTGAGCCTTCGGCCAGAAACTCAAGAAGACCGAACATCTATTTTGCCAAACCGTACGTCGGAGTGCCACGAAGGGATACGATTGGCCTCAGTGGGGCATTTGCCTTGTGTACCTTCGGTAGACCGTAAAAACGAGCCGTGGCTGTGTCAGTGGGTTTCATGGAGAACCAGTCGTTGAGTGTAATCGCCCCCTTGGCCCTGAGATTTCTTAGGCTTTTGTTTATCCGAGTGATAAGATTTTTCATTTCGCAGGCACGGCATTGTTTGTATGAATGCTGATCTTCGAGTAAGTCCTGTACCTTGTTCTGGTAAACCGATTTGTCCAGCACAACTGTTGAGCGTCCTTTGTCAGCTGGCAGAATAATTATGTCCTTGTTTGCTTTTAGGCTTTTCAGTGCTCGTTGTTCCACATTGCTAAGAGTTTCGCACCTCTTGTGTCGCATAAGCAACGAGGAAGTTTGGTGACGGATCAAATCTTTCGTTTCTTCTGACGCCTTTGTTAATTGAAGAACAGATTCGAAGGTGGCAATAAACTCTGTGGGTGCGGCATCTGCTGTGTTAAAAGTGGCTCCACGTTCCAGGACTGCGAGTTGTGGGTTCGTACAGGCTTTAGACCAAAGCTTGTGGACAAGGACGCCTGACGAGTTGTCGGAGCTTGGTACTCGAAGTTTTTCTAATTTTATAGATAATTCCTTGTCTCCTTTGACACGTACTTTCTGAGCATGTCTGAGAATGGTAAGCTCTATATCCTTCGATTCTTCACCGACAGCTCTGCAGAGATGACACTTAGATTGGTCCATCTCTAAATTGTAGCGTTCTAGTCTTTGATGACAATCGTGAATTAACATTCTTGTCATTCTTCTTCCAAGTCGGGCTACAGTCTCCCTTGCCAGAGCAGAATTCACAGGAGGCTTGTAAGTGACGCTCTTTGGGGTCAATTGGTTGTCAAGACAGCGGTGGAGGAAGTGCAGTTGTGCTTGAGTTGACGCAATCCGCAGGGAAAATTTTCCCAACGGCACGCTGCATGGAGTACTGATGGCTCAAAAAATCTCCATTCGGAGGTTAGACCCTAACTCTCAACTAGCAACACACGTTGGAGAAACAGGGCATACTTTTGACCTCCAGAGGACTACCATCTTAGGCCGAGGAGACACAAAAACAGAACGGCTAACTCTCAAGGCGTGGTTCTCCGATGCCCACTCTATCAACAGGCATCTGGACCTTCCTGCAGTTTACAAAGTCCTACGTCATCACAATCGTAGAGCACAGGACCAAACAACCATACCGGACTTAAGAAGGCCCTACGGAGATAGCCTGACGCTGAGGAAGAACAAGAACCGCCAGACCGACCGCCCGACAGAAGTTCACTCAGCTCCCCTCGACGGAGTGGTGACTCACAAAGCACACAGGCAAAACGCCCGTCCACCATCTCCCGAGAGGCTGAGGCAGCGAGAGGAGAGAAAAATCGATCAGCATAAGCCGACCAACACAAGATGCCATTTTAAATTAAATTTCTGATCGATTAAGTGCATTTGTCGCTTTGACAATGAGGAGCCGACCCAGCTCTTTGAAACATCAGCAGTTAAATAAACCTGTTCCGGAGAACATATTTTCTTCTTCAAATAATCTTCTCGGATCTCTCAACTTTGCAAATCTGAACACGACAGTTTGGCCGTCGTGCCAACCGTGTGCCCTACATCAGGATGGGAGCATGAACGGTGATTTGCGCGTATGATGATAGTAGACTTGTGCAGCATCTACCGCACTCTCCCCTCCTTCCCCACCCGAACCCGCTGTCAAGACAAAGTTAAGAAAGCCGGAGTTGGAAGAGGACGCATGCAGCTGACACGACGAGAGCCCGCACCTAGGCGTACCACACACCTTCTGGTGCACAAAGTACGCTGACTAGGATTTGATACACCAGAAAAAACATAGGGCAGGGCGGTACGGATCCCAGTCGGCTTGCAACTGGGCCTGCCACCACGCCCCAACGTTGGTATTTTTTATGGGTGTGCATCCCCGATAACGCCTGCCGGACGCTGACCTAGTCCCCTGTTTGTCCAGCGCAATTACCGTGTGGCCCGTCTTAGGCGCACATACCTAGCTAAGAAAACTATTTCGCGCACACCTCAGCATTACCAGACCCATCTCTTTGTGCATCCATAAACGCCACTGTTTACGAAGGTAGAACCCTGTTAACAAACCTTCTAGATATCGAGAAGATCTTGGAAGCAAACCGTTTTCTTCACTAAATGGGCTGCTACCTAGACGCGTTCTGTGACGCGAAAAAGAAAACGTACTGTCACTTCAGGACACTTAATGACAGTCATGTAAACAACTTCAAAAACTCCTGCGTAGAAAGTTCTGGAATAGGTAATTTGTTGTTTAGAAAGATGGAAAATTAAAACCGAATAGATTGTTTTACCTAATCAGGCCAGTGTCCATTTTGTGGTCAGAAATTGGAAAAGAAGTGCCAGCAGACCATAATCAAACGCTGAACTTCCACGAACGAAGCAACGGGACTCGATGCATGCCAAAAGGGGAATTTTCGCCCACATGAGATTAGAACAAATGGGGTATGCGATGAAGTATGCCGTCAACTGATGATATGCAGCACAAAGATGCATATCGAATGCGACTTTTCACTAAAATATGCTACTTTATTCTTACGTAAATATAAGCGCCGGTCATGGAAAATGCACAGTACACTCCTGAACCCCGCAGGACGTGTGAAGAAGAGCATGTCCGACAAATGTTCACTTCTGTAATCGCTTCATTCTCTTCACTGATTTCGTTCTCTTCTTGAC